TGGTGCCCGGCTACCACTATCAACCACTTGGAGGGGGATCTATGGAGGAAATCCTAGATGCAGTGGGAGAACAATGTGGAACAAAACTCAAAATCATTTAAAAAAAAAAAAAAAAAGGGACCAGGTTTGCTGGTCTGATAGAGCCTGGTGGAACCTCTGAAACTATGGCCCCTAGCTGCCCTTCAGTTCTGGAATTGAACCCACTCCTGTGCCTCTGAGCCAAACAAAGACAGGCATATGAGCTGAACATTTACATTAGGTACATACACTCCTTACAGAGATCAATCATGGGAGAATAGAAGGGCTGTGTATGCACAGGGAGACAGTTCAGGGGCCAGAGATCATGGCAAGGAAGGACATAGAGAAGGGGTAATTATGGGGAGGAAGTTAGAAGGGGAGCTATTGCATTGTGGGCAACTGAAGTCAATGTCATAAGACAAAGTATATGTGAATTGCTGTATGGAAAGTGAATTTGCTCTGTAAACTCTCACCCAAATCACATAAAAATTTAACAAAAAAAAATTATTTATTATGTTGAAAAGTAAGAAATGTCTAAAACCAGTGACCTCCTATTCTACATAAATAAGCTAGCAAGACAGTAAAAAACCTAAGGTAAACAGAAGGAAGTGATTAGCAAAAATAAAAGGAGAAATCAAATAAATAGAAATAAAGAGAAAACTAATATCACCAACAGTTATTGGTGTTGTACATGGGGTCATCATGATTCCAAGCCAACTCAATGACAACCAACAAGAACAGAAATTAACAAAATGTCCCAATGAAATATTTAGGATTATCTTCATAAAGCTTTCTATTCTTTTTTTTTTTTTGTGTGTGTGTGATTTGGGTAAGCTTTCTATTCTTAATGAAACTAAAATATTTTCCTTATCACATAAGCTATTTTTATTATTCATGAATTTTTAGTATATAAAATTATATTCATCTGACAAACTTTAAAGCACTAAGGACCAATAATAGATATATCCTTTTTAAAATTAATCATTTCAAAGACATTTCTAGAAGTAACACAAAAGGATACTGATTTTCAAATTTTGCCAAATATACAAGATACCAGACCATCAACACCCCAATAGCCTCTGGTGCTGGAAATATGGAGATGTGAACACTATAGACGAAACTCCTTCTTTCTCCCCCTACTGTATCCCTTATCCTTATACCCTCCTCTAAAATCAATGAGAAAAGTATACACTTTGTGAGGAAAAGGACCACTGTTACCCCGAAATCCTGTGAATCCTCAGATTTCATGTACACACTTCAGTCTAGGAGAACTTCATGTCACACCTATGTCCACATGTAAGAAAAGGGCTTCACCTCATTGTCCACGGATTCTCTTGATCCATCCAGCTGCGCCTCTAACTGTTCTTTCATACACATGATCTCTTCCTCTTTGTTTTGCAGAAATGCCTGTGGAAATGATGATGACGATGATAAAGTCATCGAAGCAATACAGGCATAACTCAAATATATGGCAAGTTTGGTTCCAGACCACCACAAAAAAGTGAGTATCACAATAAAGTGAGTCACAGGAATATTTTGGTTTCCTAGTGCATATAAAAGTTATGATTACACTATACTGTGGTCTGTTAAGTGTGCAAAAGCATTATGAAAAAGTTTTAAATATTGTGGAAATTACTAATATGTGACAGAGAACAACAAAGTGAGCACATGCTGTTGGAAAAATGGCACTGATAGTCTTGTTCAACACTCGGTAGCCACAAACTCTCAATTTGTGGAAAAAGAAAAATTATCTGCGAAGCACAATAAAAGCAAAACTCAATAAAATGAGGTTTGCCTATACTATGTGAAATATTCCTAACACTGTAGATATGAAATATCCTAATAAGCCTGCTTTAAATTTTAACATTTTGAAATTGTGTTCCATTAAAGTGCTTTCTGTTTAAAATAATAACTAGTATGGTTTTCAAAAACCAATTACAATTTGTTTCAGCACAGTCACCAGTATAAGACAGGTGCTCTCTTACCTGCTTTTTGACTACTCATTAAGGAAAAATTCCCATGGAAAAGACGTGTTGTTATCAGGATAGCTTGGCCTTGAACTCCCGTATCACAGTGTTGTCGTTTGGTGCCTTCAAGTCAAGTCCGACTCACAGTGACTCTATGTACAACAGAATTAAACACTGCCCAGTGGTGTGACATCCTCATATTCCTTGTTATACCTGAGCCCACTGTTGCAGCCACTGTGTCAATCCATCTCGTTGAGGGTCTTCCCCTTTTACACTGAACCTCCCTCCACTTTACCAAGTATGATTTCCTCTCCAGAGAATGATCTCTTTCTGAGAACATGAACAAAGTAGGTGAAACAAAATTTGGCCATTCTTGCTTCCAAGGAGATTGCCAGCCACACTTCCTCCAGACACATTTATTCATTCTTCTGGCAGTCAGTGGTATTTTCAGTACTCTTCACCAAAACCACAATTCAAAGGTATCAACTCCTCTTCAGCCTTCCATGCTCAGTGTCCAGCTTTCAAATACTATGAGGCAACTGAAAATACCATGGCTTGGATTAGGCACACCTTAATTTTCAAAGTGACATCTTGCTCTTCAAACCATTAAAGAGGTATTTTACAGCAGATTTGCCCGATGCAATACAATGCCTGATCTCCTGACTGGTGCTTCCATGGGTGCTAATTGTGGATCCAAGTTAAAATGAAATCCCTGAAAACTTCAATCTTTTCTCCATTTATCATAACATTGCTTATTAATCCAATTGTGAGGATTTTGGCTTATGTTAAGGTGTAATCTATACTGTAGACTGTATGTAGTCTTTGATCTTCATCAGTAAATGCTTCAAGTCTTCTTCACTTTCAGCAAGCAAGGCTGTGTCATCTGCATATCAAAGACTGTTAATGAATCTTCCTCCAATCCTGATGCCATGTCCTTCTTCACACAGTCCAGCTTCTCAGATAATTTGCTCAGCGTACAGACTGAGTAAGTATGGTGAAAGAACATTAATGCATACTCTTCCTGATTTTAAATGTGAGGTATCCTCTTGTTCTCTTCAAATGACAGCCTTTTGATCTATATACAGATTTCTTATGAGCATAATTAAGTGTTCTGGAATTCTGATTCTTCGTAATGTTATCCATAATGTGTTATGATCCACATAGTCGAATGCCTTTGCACAGACAGTAAAACACAAGCAAACATCTTTTTTGGTATTCTTTGCTTTCAGTCAAGATACACCTGACTTCAGCAATGATATCCCTTGTCCCATGTCCTCTTTTCAATCCAGCTTAAATTTCTGGAAGTTCTCTGTTAATATACTACTACAACTATTTTTGAATTATCTTCAGCAAAATTTTACTTGATATTAATGGTATTATTCAAGAATTTTCACATTCTGTTAGATCATCTTTCTTTAGAATGGGCACAAATATCAATCTCTTCCACTCAGTTGGCCAGGTAGCAGTCTTCCAAATTATTTGGCATAGATGAGTAAGAGTCTCCAGCACTCCATCCATTTGTTGAAACATTTCATGTGTATTCCATCAATAACTGGAACCTTGTTTTTTGCCAATTCCTTCAGTGCAGCTTTGACGTCTTCCTTCACTATCATTGGTTCTTGATCATATGCCACCTCCTGAAATGGATGAACATCAATCAATTCTTTTTGGTACAGTGACTCTGTGTATTCCTTCCATCTTCTTTTGATGTCCTGCATCATTAAATATTTTGCCCATAGACTCTTTCAATATTGCAATTTGAAGCTTGGATTTTTTTTTCAGTTCTTTCTGCTTCAGAAATTCTGAGCATGTTCTTCCACTTTGGTTTTCTAACTCCAGGTCTTTGCACATTTCATTATAATAATTGACTCTGTCTTCTCAAGCTGTTCTTTGAAAGCTTCTGTTCATTCAGCTCTTTTATCTTGTCATTTCTTCCATTTGCTAAATTTAGCTACTCTCCATTCAAGAGCAAGTTTCAGAGTCTCTTCTGATATCCATTTTGGTCTTTTCTTTCTTTCCTGTCTTTTTAACGACCTTTTGGTTTCTTTAAAAACATACTTCAAGGAGACAATTTAATATCATGCATGACTTTAAATAATGACACATCCTAGGTGGTAAATGACATCCTAGAATTTCTCTCAATGCTGTTACTTCAGTCATCAAAATTGTACCAGGGTGGTACCACAAACAATGATTCTAAATTTAATTTGTTTCAAAGCCTCCTTTTAAGGACACCTTTTCTCAATAACTTTAAATATTTCCTCCAACATATAGGGATTGCTTTTCCTTTTTGTTTCAAAAGCAGTTACAGTAAACTAATAGAGATTTAATATTAGATTTTATTAATCACGTTGGCGGGAGCTCTGGTGGTATAGTATGTAAGGCACTTGACTGCTAACCATAAGGTTGGCAGTTCAAACCCATCAGCCACTCCTCCGAAGAAAGACTGGGTGATCTTTTCATAGTGATATTACCTCGGAAACCTAAGGAGGGATCGCTATGAATTGGAGACGACTCAATGGCACAGAACAACATCATGTTAGCGGAAGAGATAACAATGAGCAACAATTTACCAAAACAAATTCCCTCTTCTAGAAAGGTCCCCTTCTCCATCAATGACCTAAACCACTCCTGCCACCCCATAGCTCTCTTATTCCCTCCTACAGTGCTGCCATTAATGAAGGCCCTCTCCAATAAATATCACAGCTGTAAACAGAGAGTGGCATTTTGTGTAAGAGGCAAGAGCAGGTAATGTTCACTGCTCAGGAAACACTGGGTTCTTCACTCACGACTCCCATGAGCTGGTCTCTTACACTTCCAAGATACCACTCTGGCCGTCAGCCTCAAAGTAGATTCAGGCATGGCTGGAGTGGTCTGCCAGGTGTCCAAGGAAAGAGTTAGTATGTGTCTAGGAATGGTCCAAGGTCTTGTGTCTCCCATAAAGGACTGTCTACTATCAGCCATGTACTTGTACAACACCCCATACCCAGTTTCACAGATGGTCTTACAGCTCACCTTCAAGTGGGTGTTCTCTTCCTGAAGTTCTTTGAGGCTGACAGCAGTGTGGTGGGCCTGCATGTCTACTTTTAAGGTCAGATATAGCATTTCTTAGTTTTTATTTGCTAAATTACTTTAACTTCTTTTAGCTGTTCTTTTAAATCCAAAACCTTTCATTAAAATGAAAGAAATCTTAGCAATTTTTGAACATTGGTTGTTAACTTAATCATTATTAAAATAACTTTGAAAGTATTAAAAGTACATGCCAAAAGCATTTATCACAAAGGACACATGGTGGTCATGGTAATCACCAGTCTCATCACAGAAGCCCAGGTCCCTGGGCGGCAGTGCCAGGTACCCTTCACTTGCCTCTTTCTCTTGCTGCAGGAGCACCTCTGGCGCCACCTCTGGTTGTGCATCTGCACCTCGGGCAGGGCTGTCTGCAGAAAGCACACGGCATTTGGCTTCCTCTAATTCAGTCTGCAGTGCAGACACCAGAATCAAGTGATTCACCTGCTGTTTCTCTAATGCCTCTTTATCCTATTAAAAACAAAATCTTATTATTTATAGCACGTGTTTAAGGAACCAGGTACCTCATGTTGTAGTCTCTTAAGTCATATACCACCTTCAGCTCTTCCTACAGCCCACCAGTCACTGCATGCACTTCTTCTCTGACTTCTTTGCTCATTCTCCCCTCTCCTTCTGACACCTGTGGTTTCCTGACACCACATCATCCATGGTAGCTGCCTAGGCTCCAACATCGAACTCCACCAAGAAAACAAGTATGTGCCCATGGCACCACAGTAAGAACTGATACTGAGTAATTATTCAGTGAGGCACAAAATTAGCCACTGGACTGTCACCAATAAAAATACTGGCAAGACATACCAAACAATAAGGCAATCAATGGAAGGACATACATTAATATTAATAGACCATTAAAAAGTTTTCAAAGAATATTTAGCATAGAAAATTATGTTCACAACATATCAAGTGGGAAGAAATAGGTTACAAAGTTATTCCAATTTCATGGAGGAAAAAGATGTTTTCTATCCTCAACACAGATGGTTTTCAACACCAAGGAGGAGCAACCACCTTCCCTGAGGAACCCTCAGTCCTTAATAAGCTCAAGAAATGTTTGATGAATGAATGAATAATGAATGAATGAATGAATAAACAAACATGAGTGAATAAGTGAATGAGTGAATGAACAAATAAGTGAATGTGTGACTGAGTAAATGAAGAGTTAAGCAGTCTCAACACAGATGTAACACAATATGGGATGTGGCTAGTCCCAAAATACAGCAGCCTTCCAGTGACTAGGTTGGGTAAGAGGTGGAGAGATGGGCCAGGTGCTGGGTGTTGTGCCCCAAGACGACAGCAGTGGAAACAGCATGGCCTCAAGAAAGAAACCTGAATTCACATAAAGAGCCCCATCAACACTTACAAGAATCAAACATATCTGATAAAAACTCTATTATCTTCAAGGAGTCCTTGGAGAGTGCAAATTATTAATATATCCACCTGCTAACCAAGAGGTTGGAGGTTCAAATCCACCCAGAGGTGCCTCAGAACAAAGGCCTGGCTAACTACTTCTGTAAAATCAGCAAAGAAAGCTCTATGGAGCACAGTTCTACTCTAACACAAACAGGGTTGCTGTTAGTTGGGGTCAATTTGACAGCAACTGAGAGACTAAGATTACCAGTGAAGTAGGACTTGTGTCATAGGGCCAAGCTGCTGACTAAAATAAAATGCTGGCTGAGTTTCACTTTTCAAGTAACTTTTTAACTTACTGCAACAAAAAGTCAAAACTTAAATACCCTTCTGGACATCAAGCTCAACTAACCTAACATACTACACAAAAACATTGTTCCATATCCTACTTTGGTGAGTAGCGACTGGGATCTTAAAAGCTTGCAAGCAGCCAATCTAGATGCAAGAATGGGTCTTTCCTGGTCCATAGCAAAGAAGAATGAAGAAAAAGAAAGACTCATGGAAAGAATTAGGCCTAGCAACTAGTACACTATGTGATCCTTAGCCTATATGACTATGAGACCAGAAGAGCTAGATGGTGCCCAGCTACCACTGTCAACCACTTGGAGGGGGATCTATGTAGGAGATCCTGGATAGAGTGGGGAACAATGTGGAACAAAACTCAAATTCATTTGGGAAAAAAAAAAGGGGGGTGGGCCTAGGTTTGCTGGTCTGATAGAGCCTGGTGGAACCACTGAGACTATGGCCCCTAGCTGCCTTTCAGGTCTGGAATTAACCCACTCCTGTGGCTTCCAGCCAAACAAAAGACAGGCATATGAGCTGTACATTTCCATTAGACAGATACAATCCTTGGAGAGAACAATCATGGGAGAACAGAAGGGGTGTGTATGCACAGGGAGATTGCTCAGGGGCCAGGAGTGCATGGAAGGGAAGGACACAGTGAAGAGAAAACTATGGGGAGGGAGTGGGAAAAGACTTGTTGCATTGTGGGAAATTGTAGTCAATGTTATGAGACAAAATATATATGAACTGCTGTATGGAAAACGAATGTGCTCTGTAAACCTTCAGCCAAATCACAATTAAAATTAAATAATAATTAAAAAACAAAACCTTAAATTGCTTTTTAAATGTTCAAAAAGGAGGGAAAACTTGCTTACTGGAGTCACAGGAGTTTAACCCTTCCCCAAACACCCATCCATCATACAATAAGAAGACATCCCTGAGCCTCAACTCCCCAGATTCAGTTTAAATATTCAAATACAAACAAAAACATACACAACATGACATACTCATAATGCCATGGTTTGATACATAGAAACTATCACAGAGCCTTAACTCCCCAGATTCAGTTTAAATGTTCAAATACAAACAAAAACACACACAACATGAAATACTCATAATGCCACGGTTTGATACGTAGAAACAATCACTGGAGATATATTTCTTCAGGAATAAACATAAATTTCTAAAGTCAAAAGTTAAAGTAATTATCACCAGTCGTAAGTAAAATAGGAGCTCTGGTGGTGTAGTGTCTAAAGCATTTGACTGCAAACTAGAAGGCTGGCAGTTCAAATTCACCAGCCACTCTTCAGAAGGAAGGTTGGGCAACTACTTCCATAGTGATACAGCCTCAGAAATCCAAGGAGAGGTTACTATGAGTCACATCTGAATCCACAACAGTGAGTTTGGTTTGGTTTGGTATAAGTAAAATATTTAATGAGATAATTGGTGTTTTTTTTTGTCTTCTTTATTTTCTTACCCTCTCCTCCCACCACTGGTAACCAACAAAGAAAATTTCCTTCCATAGATAAACCTTTCCTTGACTTTTACAATAACAAACTAACACAATATTTGTCCTTCTGTGTTTGACTTATTTCACTCAGCATAATGTCCACCAAGTTTATTGATGTTATGCGGTGTTTTGCAGATTCAATGTTATTCTTTGGGGTTGCATAGTATTCCATTGTGTGTATGTACCACAGTTTGGTTATCCATTCCTCAGTTGATGGACACCTTGGCTGTTTCCATCTTTTGGCTACTGTTAAATAGTGCTGCGGTGAACATGGGTATGCATATGTTTGTTCTTGTCATGGCTCTCACTTCTTTAGGATATATACCTAGTAATGGAATGGCTGGGTCAAATGGTATTTCTAATTCCCAATATTTAAGGAATAGCCATACTACTTTCCACACCGTTTGTACCATTTCACAATCCCACCAGCAGTGTATGAGAGTCCCAATCTCTCTGCTCCTCAACAGCGTTTGTTATTCTCCGTCTTGTTGAAATTTGCTACTAGTGCTGGGGCAAGATGGTATCTCATAGTTGTTTTGATTTGCATCTCTCTAATGGCTAATGATTGTGAGCATTTCTTCATATGTTTGTTGGCTACCTGAATATCCTCCTTGGTGAAGTGTCTATTCATGTCTTCTGCCCATTT